GCTCAGTCAGTTGAGCCTGCAGTCATCTGAAGGGTTGGTTGGTGCTAGAAGACTCAGTTGGGGCTCACATAGCTGGGGACAGGAGATCTCTGTTCTTCACTAGGTGGACCTACTACTAGGGTCACTTGAGCATCCTCATGCTATAGGAGCTGGCTTCCTCCAGAGCAAGTGATCCCAAAGAGGAAGCCACAATGCCCTTCACCATTCAGTCTTCTACAGTTACACACTCTGCTGCCTCATCGAACTTGTGGATAAGTACTAAATACACCAAAGAAAGGGACATTAATCTCTCTCCTTGAAAATAAGAACTGATGGATAAAGTGAACTGCCAAGGGCTCATGCCTGTAATCCTAGCTACTCAGGAGGCTCCAATCTGAAGATCCCAGTTCAAAGCCAGCCTGAGTAGGAAAGTGCATGAGACTCTTATCTCCAATTAACCAGCAAAAAGCTAGAAGTGGGGCTGTGGCTCAAGCGGTAGAATGCAAGCCGTGAGCAAAATAAAGCTACATGACAGTGCCTTGGACATGAGTTCAAGTCCTAGTACTAGCACCCAAAAATAGAAAGAATTGGAAGATATACTGTAAAATCACATGGGTATTGTCTTCACCTCGGAGCTGACTGAGAATATGGTCTTTCTCTTCAGGTGTTCTCTGGTCATCAGCAGGTATGCCCACACTTTTGTGGGACTCAAAATGAAACGTCTCATTTTTTTCTGGAATATTTCTCTCATCTTTTGCTTAAGTTTCCAAGCCCCACAGAGAGTCCCCGAATGTTGAGAACAGAAAAGCGAACTTGAAATGCTGCCAGCGTTAAAGGATCTGGATACAGTCATCCGCCTTGTTTGTTCCTGCTAGAGCACTAAAATTTGACATCTCTGATTCTTCTCCAGCAAAGGTTGCTGCAGTCTTTTCAGCAGTTTCTCCATGGTGCTGTCACAAATCTAATGCTGAAATCCTGCTCGGTACCCATTGACTTTTACCACATGACATTTTCCTCAAAGTCTAATGTCATTCTATTCGTGAATCTATCAGTATACATTTGAACTATGTGCCATTCAGTATTCTAGTTCTCAGTTAGTCCTCTTAATTATTTAACTCCTGCCTTCAGACTTCATCTCTCATTTCCTTTCACTTACTTACATTCCCCTGCTCATAAAGCAAACTCAAGACTAGATTTGGCATTTCCCTCTAGAGTGACTTCTCTCTTGCCCTTGTTCTTTATTCTTTTGAGATACACCATAAGAAACAAAATCTCTATTTGTGGTGGAGTAATAAGAGTCTTGTCCCTGTGCTGTGACAAAAATGTCATACCTGCTGCCATGGCGTCTATGACAACTCTTAGGTGTTATTGGGGGTATCAAAAAGCCTCAAAGCAGCACAGTGCTTTGTTTTGTTTTCAGAACTGGTCTTGCTCTTCAGCCTAGACTGGCTCATGAGCCTTCTGCCTCAGCCCACGGAGGGTTGGGCTACAGGCACACACCACCATGCTTGGCTATAGTGTTCTTAGTTTAGCTTTGAGTTGAAGTTGCTGGTTCAGTTCTCAGCTCACGATTCTAGCCTCCAACCGGTTCCCAGTTCATGTCTTGGTTTCTAAACCAATGTTTCTAGCTCTCTTCTCCACAATACCTAGACCAGGATATACCAGAATTTAATGTGCCCATGAATCCTTAGGAATCTTGTTATAATGCAGATTGTTTGAAGAATGCAGATTATCACAAAGTTTAGTAGTGTCTGAGATGCTGCATTTCTAATATGCTTTCCCGTTTGTGTCCATGCTATGTGGCTTAAGGATTAGATGTTGAGTAGCAAGGAATATAACCTCCTATGTGTCCTTGCTTACTCTCTTCTTCAGTAGAAGAGACAAAACAAGAACTGTCATGTTGTCATCATCTCTGGTATACCTGCTGCCTCCAGCACGGATCCAAAGTATAACAGAGTGCTGGGATCCTCTGAGAATCTCAAGAAAAATACTGATCCTTCAGTTCTAGGCCTAGAGATTCCAATTTACTAGATCTGAGATAGACCCTCAGAATTTTTTTATTGTGAAAATACTGTACAGAGAGGTTACAATTACATGGGCAAGATAATGAGTACATTTTTTTTTGGTTGGTCGTGGGGCTTGAACTCTGGGCCTGGGCGATGTCCCTCAGCTCTTCAGCTCAAGGCGAGCGCTCTACCACTTGAGCTACAGCGCCACTTCCGGTTTTCTAGTGGTTTATTGGAGATAGGAGTCTCACAGTCTTTCCTGCCTGGGCTGGCTTTGAACCATGATCCTCAGATCTCAGCCTCCTGAGTAGCTAGGATTACAGGCGTGAGCCACCAGCTCCCGGCATGAGTACATTTCTTATCAAGCATTGTAGCCTCCTCCTTTGTTTCCCCTTCCCATCCCTTCCCATCATCCCCCCGACCCTCAGAATTTTTATCTTCATAAAATACCACAGGCACAATGGAATTCTATGCCTCCATCAGAAAGAATGACATTGCCCCATTTGTTAAGAAATGGAAAGGCTTGGAAAAAATTATATTAAGTGAAGTAAGCCAGGCCCAAAGAAACATAGGCCCCATGGTTTCCCTTATTTGCAATATCTAGTATATGTCTGAGTCAAGCAGAAAAGGTCAGATAAGTTGATGTTAGGGAAATGAACCCTAAGATATGTATTCAAATGTTTTTTTCTTTCATGTGGTTGTTTCTAACACATTTATAAGATTATTTCTTTGTTGCTATGTATGTCCCTTCCCCACAGTATAACCCCTGCTTTCACTGTATTTGATGTCAGTATAATTTGTGGAGGGGAAGGGGAAAAACACGTTGTTTAAATAGGGATACAGGTGGACCCATTGCAACAATGAGATGTACAAGTTGTTATGTCGAAAATGAACTTTACAACTTTGGGGCGGGGGGGGGGAAGGGGGGAAGGGAAGGATTGGGTGGAGGGGGAGGATGGGAAGGGATGGGAAGGGGAAACAAAGGAGGAGGCTACAATGCTTGATAAGAAATGTACTCATTATCTTGCCCATGTAATTGTAACCCCTCTGTACAGTATTTTCACAATAAAAAAAAGAAACCAAAAAAAATGCCACAGGCAATCTTAATGGGGTTTTTGTTGATGATGTTTGTTTTTATGTGCTAGTCCTAGGTTTGAACTAAGGGCCTGAGCTTCTTTTATTCAAGGCTGGCTCTCTACCCTTTGAGCCACAGTTCTACTTATGGGGTTTTTGGTAGTTTATTGGAAATAAGAGTCTCACAGACTTTCCTGCCTTGACTGTCATTGAACCATGATCCTCAGTCTCCTAAGTAGCTAGGATTACAGGCATGAGCCACCAGCACCCAGCTTTTGATTATTTTTTTTTAAGGAATGGTACCTTTTTGCACAAAATCTAATCTGAAGCCTTAAATGAAAAATTTCCCCAGAAGATTCTACTATCTTTTATCTCTCGCTTGTTTCTTCAGTATCTTTTATTCCTTCCTTCCAAACTTCTGTTCCATATACACTGCATCTCAAGTGGACCCAGCGCAACCCCTTCTCTTTACTCTGGTTCCATTTACAAATTCCACTCATTCTATAATTAATCTTCTCAGTGTATGTCTATGCTTGATGTACTGGAAGACAGCATCATCACATAGCTAGTAGGAAGAAATTAAGTCTCTATGCTCTTTGGTTCCATCAGATCTACCTGTCCTCCTACAGTTTACCAAGTAACACATCCCCCACCCTATCCCTGTCATTAAAGTTCTGCAGAAATTCTACTTCTCTGGCAGAATGAAAAATGTGGCTATTGAATGAAACAAAAGTACAAATGACACCCTACCCTAACACATAAGACAAGATGTTGAGTCAGAGTCCAATGCTATTCACTGACTGCAGTCCCTGGGAACAGGGACTCTATTATATTTGTTCTGTATGATTTTGATAAATCACAGGCATCTCATGCTTTTCACTAAATTAAAAAAAGCCTGAGTGACTTTGGTTCTGGGCTGAAATGTGACACATAACGGTGGGAATGGGAAGAATCATTACAGCTAATTAGGTGAAATGGCATCAAAATTCTCTAACTAACCTTTTAAATCTTCCTTAATCCTAGAAAATAGTAGGTGTCAGACCTTAATATACTTTCAACACTAAAATACCATTAGAATATTCTATGGTGCTGTGCAACATGTAATGTCAAGCAAGTGTGAGAAATCATCTATCTGAGGATCCCATTTCAAAGCCAGCATAGGCAGATAAATCCATGAGATTCTTATCTCTAACTGACTACCAAAAAGCTGACAGTGGAGGTATGTCTCAAGTGGTAGAGAGCTAGCCTTGAGTGAAAAATCTAAAAGAGGTCAGGCCCTGAGTTTAAGCCCCAGTACTGCCACCAAAACAAAACAAAAACAAAAAAAAAATCCTGCTATTCCTGTGTTCGTTACTCTATTACTAAAGGCTTAATGAATGAATCCTGTGCATCTATTTCTCAGTAGCACTCCCGATTCCAAGATGGCCAAGTAGGGCAGGTCACACATGGTTACCCTGTGTATCCTTGTGCATTAAATCCAGACAGACTTCCTTTTCTAGCAACCCTAGTATGTCATCTTAGAAAAGATGAGAAAATGGGACAAGCCCCATTTGAATTCATGGAGATAGTGTCAGAAAGATTGCCTGTGCTTTTGCAGCATTTATTAAATTTATTAAATACCTACTACAGGTGCTGCATGCTTCAATGAGAAGCCAAAAGTCTCTACTATGCCACGTAGAAACTGCAGTTGGCTGACTGATTCTCATTTGCAGAAAGCAGGTGGCTAGGCAGTGATTGAAGTGTCCAGCAGGGGGCTGGCATTCTCTGTCTATATGTGCTCCTGGTTCCTCTTCAGAGCCTCAGCTCAGGAGAGCTGCTGTTTGCTGGTGAAGCTGGTGACGTGTAAAGCATCCTGCCTATAGGATTGGACGTTTGCTCAGTGCAGTTTTTTTCTACTCACTTTAAACCTTCAGGTTCTAAGTATCAGAAAAGGCAGGAAATGCTGTGTGAAACTAGCAGGCCAAAAGTTCTTAGGAAGCTGCAGCCAAGCAGACTCAGACTGGGATGGAGGTAGAAAGCTGATAGAGAGCAAGCTTCATTCTAACGCCTCTTTGGGCTGAGTTCCTGTTGCTGCTCACTTCTTGGATTTAGAGGTAGATTGCACTGGTAGTGTGAAGAGGTCAGTACAGCACCAGCCGTGACAGATAGGTTTGAATGCCATAGTCTAGATGCCCTCGTAGTCTTTATTAAAGAAGATCAAAAGCTCAGCATAGATAATCTACTCATCATCCTCATCTAATTGCAAACACCAAAAGTGAAGCCACAGAACCTTAAGGAGACTGGGAGGAGAAAAAGTTTAGAGATGGATCCAAATAATTGTTTCCTTCTGAACTTGGACGTGGACCGTTCTGTATACTGCAACAGCTCCAATGACAGTGTGGAGCTCCCCATGAATGGAGACTGGTTACACCCGGGGATCCTCTATATTATTCCTGCAATTTATGGGCTTATCATCCTGATAGGCCTCATTGGCAACATCACTCTGATCAAGATCTTCTGTACAGTCAAGTCCATGCGAAATGTGCCAAACCTGTTCATCTCCAGTCTGGCTTTGGGAGACCTGCTCCTCCTGGTAACGTGTGCTCCTGTGGATGCCAGCAGGTACCTGGCTGACCGATGGCTCTTTGGCAGGATTGGCTGCAAGCTGATCCCCTTTATACAGCTTACTTCCGTGGGGGTATCTGTCTTCACTCTCACAGCTCTTTCGGCAGACAGGTAAGTACTGACTGAAAGTTACATGCTCTCCCAGATGGTAGATGTCTTGCTAAATGAACAACTGTATCGTGACAGACAGAGTTGTTTGTGTAAAGGAAAGTTTTATTCCAACTCAGATTCCCTTCCAGGCATGTTTTTGTTCTGGGAATTACTTTTTGAGTTTGCTATATTGGTTTGAAAAAGAAAAATGGGTGAATGGTGACAAATGAGAATAAAAAAAATTCTCGAACTGAGATGTATTTTCCGAAGACAAACCATTGCCTTTTCCTAACTTTGCTCTTCCTGCAAAATTAATTGCCCGGGTGGGGAAGACAATCACATCTCATAGCTTCAACCTCAGGCAAATGTTTCTCAGAAGCAGTTCAAAACCTTCAGAGAACAGGAGAAATCCACCACACTTGTTCAAAGTATTCTTTCAGAAATCACCAAGAGAAGAAAGTACACCTCATTTCTTTGAGATTTATTTTCCTCAGATAGTTTTTATATTGCAGCTGATTTTGTCTTTGGATCTTGGTGACTGAATAGTTAGTTGTGTGCTGGCTTTTCGAAGTCTAAAATGGAATTGAGTATTTTTGTTCCTCTCTTCCACCTGAATGCTCCACTCAAGCTTAACTCCTAATTTTAATGTCTTCATTGACATTCTTCTATATACAGTATCTTTGGTGGGTTTTTCTTTTCTTTTGGGAGGGGGGAAAGAGGAAATCTAGTCCAGGGCTTTATTCTGGAAAATATTTGTGAACTGTATTGCTGTGTGAACATATTGCACTAACATTTGTATGTATGCAGTCTTAAATTTTCTTTTTCAATTTTGAGTATTTATCCAACCCTTATTGTGTAAGCACCGCCTGCTTGAATTAACAGGTCAAAAAATATCTACAGGTTGTTCACACATATTGCTGAACCTAATGCTATTCTAGATTCTGAAAGTTGGACACAGTAATAAGAGTTTCAGACACAACATAAACTGGTCGAATTAAGGAAAGCCGATACTATGAACCAGTGGATTAAAATTGCTACCTTAAAATCAGATGTATGTTGTATGTTGAAGATACATAAGGCTTGACAGCATATGGGAAAAGGAATAGAAGAAGCTCTTAAAAGTTTATGCTGTGAAGAAAATGGACCACATTTTAATACATGTGGTGCTGGATTCTCGTTTGGGAGAGGAAAAAACAGTCCTCAGGTGAGCCGACCTTGAGAAGTAATGGACAAATAAAGATAGTGTTATCAGTATTTGTAGCCATGTATTTATACTAGGCTGCCTGGAGTACACCGCTGGACCTGCATGACATTTTCAAGGATTGCAAAGTAATGGTCCACAAACGACAGAACGAAACCAGCTGGACAAGGTCTTCTCATTCCCTCTGCTCACTCTGAGATTGCTCTTGCCCTGCACATTTATTTGCCCACCAGGTAGTAATGATCACAAACAGTCTAGCATTCATTCAGGACTACCAAAGTTCAGAGCTGGCAGAAGCTCTGGGGCTGGTTATCAGTGGCCCAGGGCACTTCAGGATGAGGATACTTTTCTTGATAGGAAGAAGAGATTTGGATTTCCGGGCTGGTGAATGCAGTAGGACAGATGGTGTTTACTGTCTTTTGGGGGAGGCAGAGAGGAAAGCAAGGACATGGAATGTAAAGATGCAGCTGCAGCCCCCCCCCACTTCCCAGAGTTGCAAAGCACATGAGCTCATGAGCAGCAGAAAGGGAGAGCTCTTTCCAAAGCTAGATTGCACACATTGGCAGCCACAGTGTATCCCGAGGAAGTTGATAGATGCTCTCTATCTTTAATAAGTTCAGTACTGCAAGCTCCCACTCAACTAACTTCCTGAGTTTCACTACTGCTTAAGAAATTGCTGAGGGAGAGGCAAATGGAGAATAGAAGGGTAAGCAAATGCAGCCATAATATTCAATGTACACATATGAAAATGGAGCCAGGAAAATTGAAGCAATGGGTGAGGTTGGAAGATACAAGGAAGAATCATGACAGGAATGACATTGATGAAGATGCATTGTACTCATGAACTACCATGTTGGATTGAAACCCTTTGTGGAGCTACTTAAAGATGGTATGAAAAAAGCTGATGAATCGCTTGAATCACCTGTAATACATCTAGCTGATTACAACAAGAATGGGTATTGAGCTACTTAAATGTTGTAAGATTGTACTTTTCTATTTATCACAATTCTAAAAGGTACCAAATTTTTATAATGCCCGATGAGGTTGTCAGTGTAAATATATATCGCCTATATTTATTTTCTCTTCTCAACAAGGTGTAATCTGCATAATAGTAAACTGAACAAGTTAATAGCTCAATACATTCTTACATATTTAGATAACTGTAAAACCACTACTCAGGAGTTAAAAGAGTTCTGACACTCTCAGAGTTCTTTTAGGCCTCTTTGTAGTTAATACCTCCACAGAGAGGCAATCACGATTCTGATTTCAATCACTGTAGATTATGCCAAGTCAAAATCTCACACAAATGTAATCATTACAGCAAATACTTGGTCAATGTCACCCTTTCCATCATTCTCTCCCTCTCCATCTCAACCAACTTCACCTATCCCTTCAAATCACCTGGTTTCTTTTTGACATATGTACATGGAGTGTTATGACTGTAATTGTTTACTCTCTCCACTCATCTGTGCTCCTTCTTCTTAAGCCTCATTCTCTTCAGACAAGGCAGGTTCTGAAGCCCAATCCTGAATCTACTGAATTAGGGTTTAAGTGGGTTGTGAGTAGGGCCTATAGTGAGAATCAGTCATCCCTGCCTCTGTAGGTTTCTCACTAATGCCTGTATGTAGCTCAACCTCCCCTCTACGATCTTCCACTACTTCACGTGAACTTGAATCTTTGTTAGAAAAGTTTATGTCCCTGTCACCCTTTCAAATACATATTTAAAGGCAATCCCAGAATCCAGAATTTTGGACTTAGTATAGCTTTCTAACTGAAGGTTTACATTCAAGCTTCTTCAATATTGGTACCTGTCGTCCCTCTCATCTTGCACATATACCAATGCTCTCCTATATGCTGTTTCATTAACCCATTCTTGTCCTGATACTCTCCAGAATGATTCCTTCTTTCCTACAATTCTTCTACTTGTCCCATGCGATATCTGGGTATCAGACTTTGTGAGGAATCCACAAGGAGTCCATTTTCCAGATCTGTACTGTGTGTGGCAAATGCTTTTGCAGGCCTTTCTCCACCTACGAGTCTACTTTCACATGTTCTTGTCCCAAACTTGCCAGAACTAACACTGCTCTAAACTAAACATTCCCCCCACATGTCACCTGACTTCTCCCCTTTCCCACATCCTGTCTTTCACCCTTTCTGAGGGCTTGACCCTAATTTCTTTTTGCCCAAATTCTATCAGCTCTTCAAGGCACCATCCAAGTCTTTTTTTCTTTTATGAATCATTCCCTGATCTTTTACTTTCATTGATTTATTTTTCAGTTCTTCAAGTTATCTTTGTCTGTATTGTCAGTTACCAAATACATCCTGCTTTGCACTACTGGGTCCTTTTTCTGGATGCATTTTCTATATTCTTAATCATATGGGAAATTCCATGGAGTCAGTGTCTTCTACAGTAGTCAGGCCCACCTTAGGTAAAGTGCTATGATGACTCTAGTTTGATTGTTTTTACTTGGTTGATGTTTGAGCAGTGCTAAATGATAAAACCCAGAAGCTAGAAATGGAAGTCACCTTAAAGTTCAAATGCTTGTTTGACACAGAGACCAAAAGAACTGATGGGATGTAACCTTCTTAACAAAATCAGAGTCGAGTACACCCAAAGGCCTAACTCTCCTCATTCCAAGTCCCCATGTCTTTGCTGGATCTGGAAATTTTTCTCCAGAAAAGAAAAAAAAACCAATATCAAAATCTAGAGTCTGACTCCAATTCCCTTCTTTGGGCAGTGGAAGCAACCGATTCCAAAGAAGAACAATACCCTGAGGGAGTCCAGGCGTATCCCTTTGGAATCTCTTAGTGATTTCAAAGTTGCATTTACTTTTGTGCTCAGCTTCCTTGATTTCAAAGAGCTTGACCACTTTTCTCACTTTTCCATTTAATTCCTTATAAAGGCTGCTGCTGGAAGTACTTTGGTTGGAGCCGTTTGCATGAACAATTCATAAGTTTATGGTTTTGTTTTTCTGAGGCAAATGTGGCTTGTCTGCAAGGAAATTCAACTTCGATCTCCCCACAGCAATGGAACTACCACTGCTGCCAGCAGATTCGGGAGCTGTCAGAGGACAGGTGCTGGGAAAGTGGGGTTCCCCTTGAGGATCTCCCAGCTAGAGGGCCCTGGAAGAGAAGGTCAGCCATGAACTTTGCTCTCGTGTCTCACACATTATCTTTGCAGTGTCAGGCTTTTATGTGATTAATTATCATTTCTGGCAACTTAATATGCATAGAGGCAAAAAAAGCACAAACTTCATCATAAAATGTACAACATCGCCTGCAAAGGCTCCCTGGTGGGCTTTTTTGAACTGTGCCTGTCAATAACATCCTTTAAAAATAGACTCAATTTACATTCTTGCACTTAGAGATCTTCCTGATGTGTGGGGTGGCATAAATTCTCTCTTAATTAAAACACATGTGTTTTAGAAGCAAATGAAAGACAAAAAAAACCTTTCCATTCTTCTCTTTTACCTCCCAATAACAGGACAAGAGATTGTGAAAAGGTTCATTTTATCCTATCAAGCAGTTTCTTTTTTTAGGTTTATCAAGGTGTAATTCACACACACACACACACACACACACACACACACACACACACACACTGAAGTCTAAGGTTGACATTTCTCTGAGTTTTGACATGAGCAGCACATCATTACCACTAGTTAATCAAGATAAAGAGCATTTCTATCCACAGTCCACCTCATTCTCTCATGTTGCTTTGTAGTCTATTCCCTTCCTCAACCCCATTTCAGATAACTATTGATCTTTTCCAGACTGTCAAGAGAATTATATCATACCAGATGGAACTTCTTGAGTCTGG